AAAAAAAAAAAAAAAAAGAAAAAGAAAAAAAGAAAGAAAGAATGAGTAGTGAGAGTATTAAGTGAAGATTAGTGGCACCAAACACGGCAGAGAGATCCATTAAAATGAAGTCTCAGAAGTGGCCACTGCATTTGGCAATTATAAAGTAATGGTGCCTTCATCTGAAATCATTCAGGCAGGTGATTAGGGCCAAGGACATTCTACAGTACACTGGACGGGGAAGGAGGACAAAGGTAGTGGAGTTAACTAGGAGTCAAGTCGAATAGCTTCTCAAGCCTGGCAGTCAGAGAGGGGTCCAAGATGAAGGGAAAGTTGTTATCCTCATGTTGTTTCATTTTGTTAAGGACAGGAGAGAGGGATGAACCAAAAGAGAAGAGAAAGAATGACCCCACCTACGTTATTACTATATACCAAGAAACCACTCCCAGGAATTGGTGATGTTTGTTGTTTATTCGTTCTTTTAGAAAAATGTATTGTATGTCTACTATATACATGGCACTGGTCTTGGCACTAGTTCTGACTTCTCGCATTTGAATTAAGTAAACTTACAAAGACACTCAGGAGTGAATTTAGAGTCTTCCAAGATAACAGACACATAACGTCATTCAAAGTTAGGCTGTATGTACAGTGCAATTTAGAAGACATCGCTGTGATCTTCTAAATAGCAGCTTTTAAAATACAGTAAGACTGCATATATCTATTTGTATATTTCAGCGATTGGTTATCATGGGACACTCTGGGAATTCTCTTCTTTAAAGTTAAGTTCATTTTCAGGTTCCAAGCTATAAGATGCCAAGGTTTTAGATTACAAACTGAAATCCTGATTTATTTCAGTGAAGCATGTGTACAGTGGAACACCAAATCCCCTGTTGCCAAACAAACAACAACAACAAAAAATCTGTGAATTAAGTTATTAACTTGTTATTTTTGCCCAAGGAGCTGAGAGAAATATGTGGACTTCGGGTATATAATTTCAAATCTAATTGAAATCTTTTTGTAGCCTCTCAGGGAATAAAATTTAAACACCATTAGAAAACTCTGAGTTTCCTTAAAATTGCTCGTGTGACTTATTCTAATAGAGACACTGTTGAAGAAGGAATCATTTTCATTCATAGTACCACAAAGGCAAATTAAAGAAAAGAGAACTAATGCTCAAATCAATAATGGCAGCATTGAGCTGTAGGCTATTGTACAAAGAAATATGGTAAATAAACTGTCTTTATAGATGAAAATTTTTGAAGTCCCATTATGATTTGGAAAAACAGGAGATCAATTAAAATACCCTGCAAGTTTATTCTATCACCTCTTCTATAGTTTTTTGGAGGGAGGGGATCACAATTTTTCATTCTCCTAATATGAACTCTTTGGGGGCCTATAAAGCTGTTTAAAACTTCAAAGATTCATAAAACAGAGTGGTGATTTTCACTGGTGTCCCATGAAAATTTTTAAAGATCATTAATTATTTTCAAAAGAATTTCAAAGCGCAGTAAATATATCTTTTTTTTTTTTTACTTTTTTTTTTGATCAATATAATTTAAGTGTGCTATGGAAGTCTAACTGTAGGTTCAAGTGTGCCGTGAGATAAAAATGGTTAAAAAACGCTATTCTAAGGGATAGTGGATGACCAGATAGAAGAAACCTGGGTCCCTGAAGAGCCCAGAAAACTGAGCCTCTCCTCACCTTTAAAGGCTCTCTACAGAAATAAGGCTGTGAAATAAGACAAAGAAACATCTGTCTCTTTTCAGCTACTGAATTATTATTGGGATAACAATCAAGCTATTATAGCAGCCTGGCCTTATCTCAACTAATATAAAAAGTTTATAGAACCTTAGAAATAATGAAAAAAAGCAAAAACAGCCAGTTCGCACTGGAAGAGATAAGAAAACTATCCATCCTTTCCACTGTGCAGTCCCTGGGCAGCGCTGTCCTGCAGCGTGGCGTCTATGATAAAGTAAATGTGGTTTCCATGTAAAAACATAATTGCAAAATGTACACATTATAGATAGATGGCCGCGAGAGGGGACAATTCTAAATTTTCCCAAATCTGAAAGCACATGTGGACAGTCACATTTCTCTGAAAGGACAAATTACTAATCAGGGCAACATGAGGAAGGACGGAATTCCACGTGGAGTAAGTACCTCTTCCATCTGCCGGGCCGCTCCTTTCCCGGTGGACTCTGGCTTCACTTCACCAGTGAGGCGCCGGTCCACAGAAGGATGATAGGACGAGATGCAGGGGCTGATACTCTGTTCCGCTTCTCCCGGAAGGAGCAGCATCTCTGTTGGATACAAAATATTCCAATTGACCCTTTCACCAACTTCACAATTTACCCAAATCATCTAAAAGCCTAAAAGTCAAAAGAATGGGGCAAATACGCTCATGTAAAATAGGTCCATTTCCCAATGCCTCCCCTCACTTGGGAACATGACTCAAAGGATTCCCCCTTCCCTAAGACAGCTACATTTATTTTTATTTTATTGTTGCCGAGTTACAATCTCTCCAAAAGGTCTGAAGGAAATACTGCTTTTGAAATGACTGTACCTGTCACTCTTAACCCAACTTCTACTTTTAAAGAAAAAGAAAGCAAGAAGATGCTACTTCGATCCTATTTCCTCCTATTTTCCTGAGGGGGAAAGAGAAAGAAAATGGAGAGCTGATTGCATCCTGCAACAATATGGTAATGTTTCAAAGAATATATATTAAAAAATGACGCCAGAAGGAAAGTAGTGTAACTTGCAGCAGAAAAATGAAATACTCTGCGTATTCAGAATGCAGGGTCTAATTTTCAACACTTGCAAACAACAACAGCGACTTGCTTCCTGCCTGTTTAGCACAATCACTGGAACTCGATAACCAAAGTTGGTTCCCGATGAAGCCATGAGGTGTGTAAGCGGTACATTCTCCTACATTCACATGTGTGATAGCACACGCATACATCACAGATAACCCATGATCTTCCACAGGAGGACAAAAAACCAAAACAAATAGAAGCACAACAGGTTTCCTCCTCAGCCTGTGTTTTCACAGGACCAGGGGGGCTTGCTAGAGCTGGCCAAGAGCTTGCAGCTGGCTCGGGATGATGCTGCCTACTACTCAAGGATGGTCCTAATTAAGGCACTAATTAAGTTCTCAGTGGAAGTGATTAATTAACAACAGGCAAGCCTTGGCTGTCACAAATGGCAGCATATACAAGGAGATAATTGAGCAGATACTGATATTCAAAACTGAAACCTATTTGAAACGCATCCCTCTGCACTGCAAATACCCCATTCATAAAAAATACAATTACAAAATTCTTAAGACTTTAGCAACAGAGAATATTAACAGCCTGGAGACAGCACTGCAGAGGGGAGATGGTGGAAAAGGTAGTTCCGCTGTGATTAACTATTTATATCTTAGACTATGATCTCATTAATTAGCAGAAATAAAAACAATAATGAGAGCCAACACTGGCATTTTATATGCATCAACTCAGCTAATGCTCTCAACAGCTCCATTATTTCCTGTTATACAGAGAGCAACCTCACCCACAATCCCACAGCCAGAAAGAGCAGAGCCGGGCACTCTGTCTACAGACCCAAGCTCTTAGCCCATGGACTCACATTGAAAACTTCTTCTAAATAAGCATTTTCATCAGATATTTCATTTAACTCAAGCAGATTATGCATCCAAACTCAAGGCCAACAAATTTCACTACTATAGTATGTTAGCATGATTAGACAGCGTTAGGTACACTTCCCAAACATTTTATACCCAGAGAAGTAATAATTTTAAGCTCAGTATGTTTGGTGCAAAAACTGGCATTCTAATGTACCTATTTATGAGTTTAAAACCAAACTCCCTCATGGAGCTCTAGGATATGATACAAGCCTGGTTAGGAGCCTACCAACAAGGGCAAGAGGAGAAAGGTTTCAGGGGTGTCCAACCTGCAACCCACGGCCCATGCACAGACGTGAGCCTGTTTCGCTTAACTGGTATTGAATATTGTGAAAGTATGCACAGACCTTTTCTTTTGCACATTAGATTTACAGTTAGGGTTGGGGTTTGTGTATTCAATGTGTGACTCAAGTCAGCTCTTCTTCTTCCAATGTGAGACAGAAAAGAAAGAGTTTGGACATCCTGGTTGGCCTCACTTGAAGGCTTCAATATTAAAAACCATTATCTATCAGCCCCACTGGCTGCCAGTTCAAATGTGAAATCAAAATCAATTCTGCTTTCAGAGCTATTTGAAATAATCATTCTGATGGACAATATTGTACCGTGAGAAGGATAAGTCAACGGTTCCTTTACTTAAACCCTTTATTTTTCTGATCTATTTGCAAAAAAGATAGGATTTCCAACAACAACAAAAATGATTTCTTTTCTAACAATTCTACTGCCATGGGAACAATTCTTTCAAAACAACACTATTTGGTATTCTCTATGTCTTAAATTCTTGTTATTTGTTTCTTCAGTATAAAAGCAAAATGCACTGATGCATCTATACTGGTGTCTAACACAGCACCTGATACATAGTGAATTCTCAACAAATATTTGGGATAGGAAATGAAGTTTATGTGTTTCAACTTTTAAACTGAACAGCAAGTATCAAGAGTCAAACTGCTAGCAATACATCATAAAATCCATGACCAAGTGGGTTTTATCCCAGGGTCTCAAGGCTAGTTTAATATATGTCAATCTATAAATATAATTCAGCACATAAACAAATTGAAAAACAAAGACCATACGATTCTCTCAATTGATGCAGAAAAAGCGTTTGATAATATCCAGCATCCCTTCATGATTAGAACACTTAAGAAAATTAGTATAGAAGGGACATTTCTTAAACTGATAGAGGCCATCTACAGCAAACCCACAGCCAATATTGTATTGAATGGAGTTAAATTGAAATTATTTCCACTCAGATGAGGAACCAGGCAAGATTGCCCATTGTCTCCACTGCTTTTTAACATTATAATGGAAGTCTTAGCCATCACAATTAGGAAGAAAAGGCGATCAAGGGTATCCATATAGGGTCATAAGAGAGCAAACTTTCACTCTTTGCAGATGATATGATTGTATATCTGGAAGACATCAGGGATTCTACTACAAAACTCTTAGATGTGATCTAGGAATATAGCAGCTTCTCAGGTTACAAAATCAACACTCATAAATTGGTAGCCTTTATATATACCAACAATAGTCAAGCTGAAAAAACAGTCAAGGACTCTATTCCGTTGACAGTAATGCCAAAGAAGATAAAATACTTGGGAGTTGACCTAACTAAAGACGTGAAAGATCTCTATAAAGAGAACTACAAAACTCTAAGAAAAGAAATAGCTGAAAATGTTAACAAATGGAAAAACATACCATGCTCATGGCTGGGAAGAATCAACATTGTTAAAATGTCCATACTATCCAAAGCAATATATAATTTTAATGCAATCCCTATTAAAGCTCCACTGTCAGACTTTAAAGATCTCAAAAAAATAATACTTTGTTTTATATGGAATCAGACAAAAACTCAAATAGCCAAGACATTACTCAGAAATAAAAGCAAAGCAGGAAGAATTACGCTACCATACCTCAGACAACACTATAAATCAATACTGATCAAAACAGCATGGTACTGGCACAAAAACAGAGAGGTAGATGTATGGAACAGAATAGAGAACCAAGAGATAAACCCAGCTACTTGCCGTTATTTGATCTTTGACAAGCCAATTAAAAACATTCAGTGGGGAAAAGATTCCCTATTTAACAAATGGTGCTGGGTGGCGACCTGTAGAAGACTGAAAGTGGACCCACACCTTTTACCATTAACTAAGATAGACTCTCACCAGATAAAGATTTAAACTTAAGACATGAAACTACAAAAATACTAGAAGAAAGTGCAGGGAAAACACTTGAAGAAATTGGTCTGGGTGAATATTTTATGAGGAGGACCCCCTGGGTAATTGAAGCAGCATCAAAAATACATTATTGGGACCTGATCAAACTAAAGAGCTTCTGCACAGCCAAGAACACAGTAAGTAAAGCAAGCAGACAGCCCTCAGAATGGGAGAAGATATTTGCAGGTTATGTCTCTGACAAAGGTTTAATAATCAGAATGCACAGAGAACTCAACATATTAGTAAGAAAAGAACAAGTGATCCCATCTCAGGGTGGTCAAGGGACTTGAAGAGAAACTTCTCTGAAGAAGAGAGGTGCACTGCCTACAGACATATGAAAAAATGCTCATCATCCTTAACATCAGAGAAATGCAAATCAAAACTTTGAGATATCATCTAACTCCAGTAAGATTAGCCCACATCACAAAATCCCAAAACCAGAGATGTTCACGTGGATGTGGAGAAAAAAGAACACTTCCATACTGCTGGTGGGAATGCAAACTAACACATTCTTTTTGGAAAGATGTTGGGAGAACACTTAGAGATCTAAAAATAGACCTGCCCTTCGATCCTACAATTCCTCTACTAGAAGACCAAAAATCACATTATTACAAAGGTATTTGTACCAGAATGTTTATTGCAGCCCAATTCATAATTGCTAAGTCATGGAAGAAGTTCAAGTGCCCAATGACCCACAAATGGATCAATAAATTATGGTCTATGTATACCATGGAATATTATGCAGCCTTAAAAAAGATGGAGACTTTACCTCTTACATGTTTACATGGATGGAACTGAAATATATTCTTCTTAGCAAAGTATCTCAAGAATGGATGAAAAAGTATCCAATGTACTCAGTCTTACTATGAAATTATAGCCCAAGAAGAAGGAGAATGGGGAGAGGGAGGAGGGAGAATGGGTAGAGGGAGAGTAATTCGTGGGACTACACCTATGGTGCATCTTACAAGGGTACTTGTGAAATTCACTAGGGGTAGAATACAAATGTCTTTATACAATAACTAAGAAAATGCCATGAAGACTATGTTAACCAGTTTGATGAAAATATTTCAAATTGTATATAAAACCAGCATATTATACTCCATGATTGCATTAATGTACACAGCTATGATTTAATAAAAAAAAAAAGAGTCCACCTGCCAATAAGACATGGATGACATGAAGTACAGTTCTTACCTTCATAAACTATATGTTTTATAGGAATAAGACTTTGCATAGGAATTAATCAAGAACAAAACTGAATGGCTCTAACTCTAGAGATGATGGATATATAAAAAGGTAAAACCAGGCTCAGCACCCATAGCACACTAGTTACTGTGCCAGCCACATACACGGAGGCCCAGGGCAGCTAAACAATAACAACTGCAACAAAAAATAGAGGGCGTTATGG